CCAATCTTAATGCAGTTCAAGGGCACTAGAATGTTTTATTTTGTATTTAACATTTTCACAGAAGACTTCTTTAGTCATCAGAACCACGTGTTCAGCTTTTTTTTCCCCCATCACAGTTCATCATTGCTGACAGTTTGCTTTCAGTGGCAAAGCTTCTGTAATGAAATGCCAATACTTCAGTAAATAAATGCACATCTTTATCAGCTGGATCTGCTGTGCTCACAATTTTGTCTGATCATCATTGTAACAGTGTTTTTTTCAAAGGTTCTATATCATGTGAGAAATCAGTCGTTCCTCTGCCAGTGTTTTTGTTTCATCAAAGTAAATTATTGTTTTCACTGAAAACCTTTGATTTCTCTTTTTATAATCATGGGTTTAACCTTAAATGTAGGTTTCAAATGAACGTTCCCAGCTCGTAAAGATGAGGACTCATGGCATTGCAGCACTTCTGACTGTAGCTTGAATACATGCATACATACATATGTGTGCATTTCTATTTTTACCTGTATTTGTGAATTAATGTTTAAAACTAAATCAAACCATTCACAGACACTTTAAGAAATCTGGTTTTGAATTCTCAATTGTTTGTCCGTAAGGGTCAATCCTCAGTGATGTCATAAAAATATTTCTCAGTTTAATTACTAGCTTTGATTTTAATTTAAATCCCTGTAGCTTCAATTAAATAATGCGACAGTTGAAGCCAAATTGAAGAACTCCCCCCCGCCATCATTAACTTATCTAAAATTACCGAGGCCCAACAGTATTAAATGTACAAGCTCAGCTGGAATATGGCTGCCTTTTTATGCCTTCACCAGTGGCCAGAGGCATCATCTCCATCCCTATCCTTGTGATTGCAATATATCTATAATGCTTCAGGGGAATTAGTTCAAACATTCACTTGGACTCAAGGATCAACCTGGGGGTCAAAGGTCAAGGCGTCTGTGACCTCACAAAAATCATGTTTTTGGTCTTGTGAATGTGATGTGACTGGAATTCCTTGGGGGGGATTTTTTGAAAAGTCCTATAGGTTGGAGAACAGCCTCACTGTGACACCACAATGTCTAATGTGACTCCGACTTGGTGACGCTAATCTTAGGTTCCCACTTTGAAATTGTGGCATTAAAAGATGCTTTGTTGTCAGGTTGAAGATGTGTGTGAAGCATCAGCTTCTGCTGGACATAAATTGAATTGACAGACATGTTTTAACGGCCGGTCATCTTTAAAATGTTGCCAGCATCCAGTTGTTGCTATGGCTGCTAGTTTGAGACTGTTATTACACAATCAGTGATGAATTTTACACTCCTCTCCTAAATGAGAAATGTTCCAGATGAACAACTATAAAAAATTTACCTGCCTCGGATTTTCTTTCTTTATGTTTCAGTCAATCAAAAGCACCTGAAGTATTTATTCGCCTCCTCTCCTTTATGTGGAGCTCAGATATACTAGCGTGCAGTTCTGATTCATCTGAAAACAACTTGTTGTGGGGCTTACAGGCCTCAATTTGAAATAGTGTTATGACAATAATTCATATATCATTTTAAACTACTCCACTCAATACATACAAATGCCCAAAACACCACATGTGCTGCAATATCTCAAAATGTCTATAATATACAGGAAGACAATAATATTTTAGTGGTCATGCTCAACACTAGAGCTTTATGTGCTCTTCAACCTTACGTAAGGGACTGGATTGAATTCAGAGGTGAGTCCGGTAAGATTCAGAAGGAGTAAATCTAATAAGTTGAATGTGTGCAGAGCGGCACAGCTGTAGAAGTAAATGTAGTTCAGTTGAGAAATTCCACACTGCACTCAGCCCTTGATATAAGAATGTTATTGACAACGGCAAATAGCTCCTTCAGTTCATCTGGGATTTCTTTCCCCCTTGAGTCTCTGTGCTTTCTGGGGGTCGTAATGAGGCTTTCAGTGTCAAAACGCTGACATCTGCAATTCAACATCAGTCTTTTACACATGAACCTGGTTAGCTGCTGCCACAATAGACGCCCTCGTGTGTCGCTGTGGCCATCAAACCTCGTTCATTAAAGGTATCCTGTGACCTCGTTTTCTGAAAAGCAGATTCTAATTAAACAATAACTTACAAACATTTAAATTTCTACTGTGCTTTTCCACATCTGATCCTCTCTGCTTCAGTGTTGTGAGTTCAGCTGGTTTAGACAGGTTAAGTTTTTATCTGTAGACGTGATTGTTGCCGTTACTCAAAAAAATGTCTGTAGTATTTGTTAGCCTCCTTTCCTCTTTGCTGGATTGTTTGGGTAAGACGTGTTTACAGAAACAGATAATGTCCAGAACATTATGATGAATTGAGCAGGCAGGATGAAGGATATGACGTGTACCTTATCTGGCAATCATGTTTTTGCTAACGGCACATTTACTCCGGCATCAGCCCTTGTTGTCAAAATCTCTCGGATGTCTTCAATGTTTTTCCTGAGATATTTCTATTTCTATTTGTTCTCTTCAATCTTGCATCCGTTAGGGTTTGAAACGTCATCAACACACCCGCCCGATCACTGTGAATTTTCCGGACATGTGACCATTCACATAACATCGACATTTACGTTGCACATAATGTCCCTTCGGATAATTTCAGGAAAACATCCAGAGCACACTGTACGTCTGAAAGCAGCTTATTTCAGGCTTGATGAGTACATACTTGACCAGCTTAAATGAAAAACATTCTCACACATGGGAAATGTCTATATTTACAGGCTGCACGTGTCTGCATGCTCTGATCTTCCATTCCTTTTGCCAGAGTTCATGCTCAGTGAACTGACCGGGGTCTATCTCACCATGTACCTGAACCGACAAGCTTTGATGCTTCGGTGCCTAAAACGCACACATCCTCACACTTTTTTCCCTGCCCACTTTTTATCCCTATTGTCATGGGAAACACCCACTTCTTTCTCAGTGCTTAAAGAATGACTCAAATAATTTATCAATGACTGCAGCTCATGTCAAAGCTCGGCTGGTGGGTGTTGTGAGCGGGCATACTTTAAAGATCTCAGGTTCAGGCAGCCAGAGGAGAATTATAGTATCAGAAAAAAACACCATAGTTGCTGTAGGGAAAAAAGATTCAACCCACAAGGTTTTGTTTAAAGACGATACACCTCGGTGATTTTCTAATATTTGCTTCGAGACAATAAAACTACCTTTACACCATCCCTCTGTCCTATATAATTGATTATTGCAATAGCAGCATTTTTTCCAAAATAATAAAAACAGAGAAATATTTCAGTGCACTGTTACCCACATTATTGTTTGTGGTTTTTTAACTTCCTCTTTGAGCTTCGTTGCAGTAAAATATTCTCACTAAGTCAAGGGATAGAAATGTTAATGTTGTTAATTCCAAAAGCCAAAGGTGAAACGGTGACGCAGCAATGCACAATCTGGACATGGGTGCAGTGATGTCAGCTGATTGATGCCACGGATACTCTTTCCTCTGGGTGGCCTTATGTTTTTTTGACAGCTACTTCATCAGGATTAAACCTGCTCCGTTGCACTGTTGTCATGTTGCTCTCTATGACAGTTTGCTCTGTCGGACTTCGTCTCTTTCTCTTCCTCTCCCTGTCATTATCTCTCATTCACACAGCTGGTGAATTATATTCTCATTACTAACGAGTCTGCGTCGCCTGTGTGTGTTTTATCAGTGTGATCCAGGACAAGTTCTGTGGCATCATCAACATCTCCGTCGAGGCGCTGCATGATGTCATGACAGAAGATCCCGAAACAGGCACCTTCAAAGAGTAAGTATGCAGGAGGAGACAGCTAAAAGAAAATCAAATGCATAAATCCTGTTTTTCTCTTCACATGGTAATTTTGACAAATCTCCCCCATGATATATGAAAGCAGTTGAAATATTTGGTTTGAAAGCTGGAATTTATCTAAAAAACAAAACTCAGTAGAAAGAAGCACTCACTTTTGAAAAATGACAGTGGAGGAGAGGCTGAGTGGATGTGTGGCTCAGGACACTTTTCCTCAGATAAATAATGGTCTGTGAAATGGCCCAGAAAACACCGTCTCACTATGGAAGGAGACACTGACACAGCCGCACCTTCGACACTTACTCTGCCCCATCACTCTGCCCTCTCGCTCTCTGTCCCGGTAGCATCGAACCCATTTCTCAGAAGATGTTAACCTGCATGCAGACTCTCCTTTTCCCTGCTGTCAAAAACACTTAGCGCCCTGCCAAGATGTGCCAGTGTGAAATAAATGGCAAATTTGTGTGGAAAGGTTAGTGTTAGTGTTTCTTTATTTGCGGCCGATGTGTTAAATTGTTTTGGTTCCCTTCTGAGCTTCATACGGAGCCAAAACATGTCTGTGGATTTACTTTTTGTTAATGCAACAAACTGAGACAGGTAGCAGAGGGTAATGTAATCATCCTGCCTGTGTTCAAAAATTAAGCAATGTTTAAAATTAAAACTGACTTTTCTTTTATTCCTACATTGTTGTAAGTGGTTCTTGTTCGAGTATGGTGTTGAATAAGAGTGAAAGTTAAACAATATAACGATTGGAAATATTGACTTCCTTATTGACACCATGCTCATGACACTGTCACAATTATTAGTTTAAATCTGCACCATATGTTTTGGGCCCTTTGGGTTCTGATCATAAAATTGACCTTTTTAATTTGACCTTTTACGTTCACAGCCATAACTTTGTGGACGACTGTTGCTTATTTATTGATCAAGCAGTTGGGGAGCATCATTATCAATTTCTGGCCACTTGATGAACATTTTAAACTCTTCCAACCCCTGAAAATACCTGGCTCTTGAGCTGCTGACTGCTCCATTATGCTTAGGGTAGTTGCTATGTATGTCTGTTGTCCAAATCGTTATATTTCTGTAAAACTAAACAGCAAAACATCTATTTTATGTGAAACATTTAAAAAACATGTCTGAGCATGTCAGAGATATTTCAATGCAGTTGATTAACGTCAGGTAAAGATCGTGATCTAGTTTAATAAAGGGGGGAAATTATGTGATTTCAGATACATTCAAACTTACCTGGTGTGACAGTTGTGTCCCCATCCATATCCTGGCAACTCTGCTGTCATTGATACATGATTGGGGAAAAAAGGTTTTGAACATTTGAAATTAATCCAGCCAGAGATAACATTTCCCAAGCAAACCGTTTTGCTGTTCCATTATAGCTGGATAGAAACTTAAATTCTAAGAAACAGGTTTGGATCAGGTAGTGATTTTTTTAAACTGCTGTGCCAGAAAACACGAGTGCCGAGGGAATTAATCATAACAGCGGACTTGTCTGCAGGATGATTAAACCAGGAGCAAAAATTTGCTACATCGCTCTTTGAGATTAGTGTGAAAATGATTAATTGATGAAACTTCTGTTACAACACGTTAGAGCCAGGTGTTGTGAAATTGAAGATCCCCCCTCTACTTCATCTCCACTCACAATAAGCATAAAGCAAGAAGGACAAAAGAAATTAATGACCACACACAGAGTCTGGACTAAGCACAAAGCTTTCTCTTGTAATTTTCTCTACATGCATATTATCAACAGTCGGTGCTGTGCCAGAGGGTTCAGCCTTTTTTTCAATGCCTTCGTGTGTGAATGCTGAACTGTCCTGAAATGGTCTCCTACTCTGCCGGTTTATGTGCGCTTATTAATATTGAGTTGAATATTGTGTTTGCAGCTGCATGTTGATGAGTCATTTTGAGGAGCCCAAGCTAAGTGATGATGAGGAGCCACCAACCGAACAGGACAAGAGGAAGAAACTTGTGAGTCAGACACACACATATCTGTACGCACACAGTTCCATTTTATTTTCACAACGAACAAAAGATTTTCTTTTTCATCTTGTCCTGTTGTCGTCTTAGATTTTTTACTGAGCTCTCTCTCTCCTTGTTGATGACACATAGTCTTTGCCCCCATTGTGTTTCTCTTCATCCCACACTGGCTCATAAAATACAAGATTTAAAAACAGAGGAAAATTATTGAGAGCCCAGAGAAAATGTACAAGCAAACACAAATGTGGTCACTTCATGCACTTCTCAGTCACGAAATAATTCAGACGTACTTCTTAGCTGCTGCAGCGTTTCAGTTAGAGCGCCATGTAATCACATAAGCACAGCCGCTGGCATGTGTGTGTCATAGATGCATGCTGGGAGTCACTTTATGTAAGCATAGATATTGTTGAGCACCCATAAATGGCGTCTAGGTGGGGGATGCATAACATTCAACAGTATGCATGTATGTAGGTGCATGCATTCCTTTGCTGCTCTGTGTTGCACTTTAGAGACTTTGAAATTGTAAACACTCTTTAACATTGTAAAAAATGTTGTTTCATTATGATGTTGGGGTCTCTGGCTGAGTCGTCTCAGCCAAATGTGTGCCTCAGCAAAATTAACGAATTAGATTTCATAAAGAAATGCAGCTGTGTTTATTACCTAGTATGACTTTGTGTAACTGTGAGTGTGTGTGTTGTGTGTGTATGTTTGCTGGGCAGTATCCCACTGTACTTATCACCTCAGCCCAGACCCCGACTTCTTGCTCCAGGGAATAGAGAAGAGGAGACTTAAAGTCGCACCTCTCTCTGCTTCTCAATGTGTGGGTGTGTGTGTGTATTCTCGAGGTTGTGCATGAATCCACGTGCACGAGTGTATGTCGTGCCCACGTGAGACGGTTTTGGGTTTGAGGAGAAAGTTAATGAGGAAGGAGACCCGTGACATTTATTGACTCCAGTTTGAATTTCTTATGGTGGCTGTCCTTGGCAGGTGTGTGAATATTTGTGTAAAAGCGTTCGTGTGCATCAAATAATGTATGTTTATGCCAGTGTGAAAGAGCATGGAGACAATTTTCTTAAAAAACAGCTTCATGCATCAATGCCTCACTTTGATAATTTATTCAGACAGAGGACTGCCAATGCAGCGTATGGGATGAATACATTTAAAGCAACCTCATCCACTTTGCTAATTTTGTTTTAGTTGCACTTGGTGGCACTCAACTTTGTTTAGTCAGCTTTCATCAGGATCTGCCGTGTGTCCACCATCTGCAGGGTGAGCTGTAGGGGTCCGCTGCACTGCCAGTCAGGGAGCAGGTGAAGGCAGGAGGCCTCACTGCGAAAGCCGGAACTTGAGATACAAAAAGTCACATCTCTCTGTAGGTGACAGAGCTTGAGGTGATGAAGGAGGTGAAGCAATACTTAAGAAGTATAGCGCAGTTGGACTCACCTCTATACACGGCACTGGTCCTGAAACGCTACACGATAGAGACTGGGGTCTGTCCACCTCCTTCTCCAGGCAGGTGTGTGTAGACGGTCATGAGTCCTGCCACACTTAGCTTCTCTTTTTCTGCAGTGCAAGTGCATAACTAAGTACACTATAGAGTGCTCACTCACTTACAGGCCGTAATACACTAAATATTAAACTAACTTTGAGTGAGACATGTTGTACTCGATGTATTTGCCAGTATTAGCTTACTGCAGATATATCCATATATAGTTGTGGTATATCCATACTGGTGTGCCTGATCCAGATGCTGCTCCTGTGGTGACCTGTGGGAATGAACAACCCGTGATTTTCTGTATTTTCTAATTTTGTATATTTGTCATAAGGTCTTTAGTCTTGCCTTTTATGTGTGTGGATGAATTGTCTGTGCACTTTATTTTGCTCTTCCTGCTGCGTTGAATGGCCCCTTGGTGGACAAATAAAGTGTTGTTTGCATTTGATTGTCGGCCAAAAGGGATGAAGGTATTGCCATACTTTTAAAGGGTTGTTGAGGAATGCCAGTACATAGTTTTTAATCACCCTTATACTGAGGAGTTTGTTCTTTCACTGTTAAAAGTCCAGCTTAGTACTTGTCTTGGTTACATCTCTTAAACTAGAATGGCGGACAGGGAGCACATACCTCGGCCAAGGCTATTGTCCCATCTCGCAAGAATTCCTGAATCAAAATTTTATCTGTTCTTCCTTGAGTCATGCTCTACCCCTACTCTATGGAACTTGGTATATATATATATATATACAGCCATGAAAACATAACCTCCTCCTTGAAGGTAATAAAACAACACAATCAACACACAAAACCAAACTCCATGTAAACACAAGTTGTCCAAATGGTTCAATATCTTCCACGCCTTCACCACCCACTCGACATTCCTTCCTTCCCTCCCCTTTTTCCCCTTCATCTGTCCTTATCACACTCTGTCACATTCTACTTGTGAACCTTTGCTAATCAAGCAGTCTCATCACAGTCTCTCTGCCTGTAGGGGATATTTGTTTGACGTTGCTGTGTTGTCTCATTGAATTGTATTTTCCGCTTCCTTTGGGACACCTGCATTCCTGCATAAAAGATGAATATAGTGAATACAGTGGGAAACGGAGAAATACTCACAATCACTGGTATTCACATCACTCATTCCAATGTTTTCCTCTCATACAGTGTTTTTATGTTGTATGTGTGGTTTCTGTTTGCCTTGTGTGTCCTGTTTGTAGGTCTGACCTTGTCTGACTCTCATGAGGCACTGTGATGGGTGATTTGCTTTTAAAAGGACAGAGACTCTACCACAGCTCACAACTCTACAGGAAGCATTGTTCTTTTTTCATAGACTCATGAATAGGATGGATGTTTCCAGGGTAAAGCTCTTAAAAGTTGCCAACACATCTTAATGCATGTTCATGTAATCCGTTGTCAGAAATTAAAAATAAACTGTGATGCTCTTTTGCTGAATCTGTAAGGAACAAAGTGGTTTTGCTATTCAGTGATATTAGAGATGAAAGGATATAAGTGGGAGAGATGGCAGCAACGGAGGCAGGCTGGATGTGAATCAGGTTCATCATGGTTCATGGTTGGTGTCTCGGCCCCTTAGGATAGTTGGATTTCTTTTGAATCTTTATTAAATAATTCTATACATGTTCTGTTCAACTATAATTGATTTACAAGTGCTTGTAATTTACTCAGAACTCAATTTCAAGGTTAATTCATCTATTGGGCAAGTTCAGCTCAAATTTAAGACAGAACAGTGTCACACTAGATATTATTTAATTTCGAAAATAATCAGCCTGGCAATAAAATTCGCTGTATATGTTGATAAATTACCAGTGAATCATGCTTGAAAGTTTTAAAGTGAAAGTGTGGGCTGCTCTGTACTTAATATTTTCTAAGATTTTATTAAACCCTAATGACAAAGAAATCTAATTTAGGCTTGAGATTCTACAGTTTAATCATAAACGTTATCATTAATAACTATGAATAAAAAGAAACCACATACAACCAAATGTATAGAACTTGAATACTAATATTTTAACATAAATGCACATTTTTCCTGAAATGTTTATTCTGTGATATAAAAGTTTTCATACCAGTGAACGCAGATACCGATCAGCCAACATGCTAGATTCAGATAGAGCACAGCCAATTTATCTATGAGAGAGAACTAGCGTTATAGCTCCTACCACTCAAGAGGAATCCATCTCTTTCATGTCTGACTTTGTCTCTGCAGTAGCATGTGAAGGGCTGCTAATGTTACCAGCAGCAGCAGCTTTGTATAAGAAGCACAAACACTGTCTTTGTTCAGCCAGTGTTTTGATTTACTTGGCTTGCATCTGATGAAATAGACCTTTGATTCTTGCCTATGTCGTCTTTTACATTTGTGAGAATGGACCAGTGAAGACGGCACTTTTTTTTTCTTGTTATTATTATGACATCATATTGACTACACCAATTGCTAATTGACTTGACATTTAAGGGACAGTTGTGGTTTATAATTGAGAATAACAGTGTTTTTGTATTTGTCAGCTCTACAGTTTGTTCTGCTTGGAGATATATTTCCACACTTTTAAAATAACTCCATCAGGACCTGGTATGTCTCATTTATGCAGATGATACAACACTTGAGTTTCATTTGACAAATCTAGACAGCAGGAAATCTAAACGGTCCACCTTCAAGCATCTGCGTTCGGTTCATATTAAGATGTCCTGCTCAGCTCTGTGTTCTTCTCTTCATTGTCTCTCATTTCAGTCAGAGATTGCCTCATCATCTTTTGATTTGTCCCTCACTTTGATCTGAGTGTTCCAGGCAACTGGACTGGGTTAACTGACGCTGTGTTTGGGTCCCGGTACATAATGTATCATTAGATTCCTGTGCTTCATATACAAGGTCAGCATCATCAAACAAGAAGAGGGATCAAAGACGTTCTCCCCTCAGCACTAATGACATGCGCTCCGTCTGTTGTGCTGCATTAGCACACACCCACTTGAGCTATTCTTTTTTTCTTTTACTTCACACTAATGTACATGCACAGCACACATGTGGTATTGTGCTGCTTTTGTTGTGAGTATTTGCCTATTTCTGGTGAAAATGGAAAAAATAATAGACAATGGCGCCCTATTCAACGCAATCATGTAGGAAAAACTGGGATATAATGAGGGGGGGGGGGTTGCTAAATCTTATTAAATAGCGATATCGACCAGATGTGATATTATGCATTGAAGTGTCATTCAAACTGCAAATCATTTATAATTTCCTCAGTTTCCTCTGTTTCCTATTTTCCTTTTCATGACCTCATGAGCTCTCACTCTATAGCGCCACATCTTGACAATCAGACGCATTACGTCAGTTGTTAAATTCTGTCACAGCTGTTCGGCAGCAGCCCACGTGCTCGCCCTCATTTTAAAAGTCCCACTTTGTGTTCTCTGTTTATTGTTAAATGTTGTTTCGATTTATTTGAACAGTGCACTCACTCAAGTCATTTATAGCATTTGTTCAGGATGTGTAACT